TCTGCTTAGAATGTTTTATAACATTAGAGTATGTATTTTATTTTATTTGATTCTGAGAGTGTAATTATAATTATGTAACTTAGCACACACACACACCAGGTGAGATCTTTAAAGTTCATAATTTTTAAAACTGATCGTACATCACGAACCATGTTCATAAGGGACGATCTAATTAGTATACTCCCAAACGAGAAATAGAATGAACAGAGATGGAAATTTTTTTTCCTAAGTATAGTTCATCCAGACAATTTTACCCATTCATCCCATGACGATGTCCTCTGGATTTGTCATTTGAACTGTTCGTCCAGATAATTTTTTCCATTAGTCCTAGGATGATCTCCTTTGGAGTTATTATTTGAACTATTCATCCAGACGCTTTTGCCCATTCATCCCAGGATGATGTTCTCTGGATATGTCATTTGAACTATTCGTCTAGAGGATTTTACCCATTCGTCCCAAGACGACCTCCTCTGGAGTAATTATTTGAACTATTGATCCAGATGCATTTACCAATTTGTTCCAGGATGATGTCCTCTGGATTTTTCATTTGAACTATTCATCTAGATGATTTTACCCATTCATTCTAGGATGATGTCCTCTGTTCTATAAACTTATAATCTGTCTTGCATTTTCATACCAATGAACCTTGGGAATAACTATTCGTACAAGATAAACCATGTTCGTATGGAGTGATGATCGGGTATGAAGGCAGTTCATACCAATTTACATTGAGTTCGTATGCAATAGTTTTTATATTGTTTGTACGTATGAAATTCGATAGTACGGGATGATCATGGATGATCAAAAATTGGAAATTATAGTTTTTGGATGATTTTTTGTGTCTTTTCTATAAAAGGTCCACTTAAGGCTGTCATGCAATCTTGTTGTTAATTAGTCTTTATGCATACTTAAGAGAAGTTGAAGGAGAGAGTGAGGGAGAGTGTTTGAAGGAGATTTCTTATTTTTGAAGCGTGAAGGGTTCACTTAGTTACTCAAAGGTAAGGATATCTATTTGTAATTTATGATTATTTCACTCTTTTCTCTTGTCCTTCTAGATTTCTTATGAGAAGATCTTTTAAGAAGATCCAGTTCTCTACCAACACTCGAGGAGTGTGAACAGTCGAAGGTTCTCTTCCTACATTTGGGTGTGTGAATAGCTGAAGGTTATCTACCTACACTTGGAAGTGTGAACAGCCGAAGTTTCTCTACCGACACTCAAAGAGTGTGAACAGTCGAAGGTTCTCTTCCTACACTCGAGGAGTGTGAATAGCCGAAGGTTCTCTGCTGACACTCGAGGAGTGTGAACAGCCGAAGGTTCTCTGCCTACACTTGGGAGTGTGAACAGCCGAAGGTTCTCTGCCTACACTTGGGAGTGTGAATAGCCAAAGGTTCTCTACCTACACTTAGGAGTCTAAATAGCAGAATGTTCTCTGCCGACACTCAAGGAGTGTGAACAGCCAAAGGTTCTCTGCCTACACTTAGGAGTGTGAACAGCCGAAGGTTCTCTGCCGACACTCGAGGAGTGTGAACAGCCAAAGGTTCTCTACCTTCACTTGGGAGTGTGAAAAGCCGAAGGTTCTCTGCCTACACTTAGGAGTGTGAACAGCCCAAGGTTCTCTGCCTACACTTGGGAGTGTGAACAGCCAAAGGTTCTCTGTCGACACTCGAGGAGTGTGAACAGCCAAAGTTTCTCTACCTACACTTGGTAGTGTGAACAGCTGAAGGTTCTCTTCCTACACTAAGGAGTGTGAACAGCCGAATGTTCTCTACCTACACTTAGAAGGTGTAAAAGGACAACGATTCTCTGCCTACAATTAGAGGGTGTAAAAGAATGACGGTTCTCTGCCGTACCGGGTAGTGGTGGAAGAGAGTTTTTGTGAAGGCTTCTCCGCCTTGCTCTGGGGCCAAAAGGAGAGACACTAGTGGTAATAGTGCAATACATGAAGGGGAAGACTTCAGGGAGTGGATGTAGGTCGTGTTTGACTGAACCACTATAAATCTTGTATCTTTTATTTTTCGCTACATTTTATTTTTCTGTCATGCTAGTATCTGTGGTTGAAAAATAGTTTTAAAAATTTTATTAGTTTTAAATTTTCAAATTTAAATTAAAAGGATAACTTTTTCAAATTACCAATTCACCCCGCCACCCCCCTATTGTAAGCTGATTCTTACTTTACAATAATGAACTGAATGGAGTGTGTAGTCCGTCGAACAAAATCTCCAAGTATAACTGGAAGACTTATTATCCCTTCTGCTCGTATATGTTGATTATCAAATCCATAGAAAGGACCTGCAGCAGGCTGAAGCTTTTTTCTTGAGAGACCCATATTGAGAAAAGTGGAGTATAATAGGACATCTATGGAGCTTCTATTATCTATAAGAATTCTTTTGACATTGTAATACGGGTCACCTATTCCAACATTTATTACAAGTTGATCTTGATGAAGGATTTTTACTCCCTCCAGATCAGAGTCATCAAATGTGATGAAATGATCAATATGAGCCTTCTTTGGAGTTGGGTTTTCATATACAGCCAAAAAGATTTGATCAGAGAGTAAGGTGTAATATCAGTTCTGCTCCAGGTTCGTCCGGGACGAAGTTGGATCGTCCAGGACGATCGGTACAGGTTTGTTCAGAATGGTGAAAATTGGGCAGTTCGTCCGGGACGAAATGTGGGATCGTCTGGACGAAAATTTTCGATTGTTTCATTTTTACCAACCATTTTCTGCTTATTCACCGGTTGTATCTATTATTGATTTTGCCCCCAGTGTGGAGAGCTTCTTCACGAGTAAGTGGATTCCCAATAAACTATCGAAGATAGCTTTGATGGATAAGTCTTTCAATCTCATCCTTAAGTTACCTATAGGCTTCAGTAGTGTGGCCATGACTACAATGAAAGTGACAATACTGATTTTGATTTCCTATATTTGGCTTCAAAGGATGTGGTCATTTAATTGTATCTTGATCTCGAACAGCTATTAGTACATTTTCTCGAGATATGTTGAGTGTAGTGTACTCCTCATATCGAAGTTCTCATCATATCAATGGAGGCCTGGGAGGTAGATTATTCTTCCCTTGTTTCTTCCATTGTGAGGATGAATTATCCATCCTAGGTGCACCCTTGCACTTTTCGTTGGTTTGCTTAAACTGCTTTCCATGAGCATTTATAGCTTCATCTGTAGAAATTTGTACCTCCACATGATGGATCAGATCGACGTATAAATGAACAGTATCCCGCATGAGTGTCGAATAGAAGGAGCCAGGACAAAGTCCTCCAAGAAAGACCCATCTCAGTAATTTAGGGTCTACTCCTAGAATTTGTTGAGCCTCGGTAAAAAATTACTAAAAGTACTCCTTCAACGATTCTCTTTAGTTTTGATTGATCTCGGAGAGGTGGGAGGAATCCTTAGCAATCCTCTGATTAGCTACGAACTGTTCGACGAACACTTTGACTAATTTAACAAATGAAGGGATCATTCCAGATGGAAGCGAATAGAACCATATTCGAACCTATCCTTTAAGGATGGCACGAAAAACCTGACACAAAAGTGCATCCGATGCTCGCTAGATATACATGATGGTTCTATAGTGGTCGATGTGTTCATATGGGTTGGACGTCTCGTCGTAGGACTCGATGCTTGATAGTTTGAAGCCAACCAGACTAGGGTGTTGAAGAATGGATTCGATTAAAGGTGATGACTCCTAGGCTGACTCATCCTTAAAATTTAGGACAATCCGATTACAAATCTTCACTTTCAAATTGAAATCCAATTACAAATAAGTTGTGTATTCAAGCCGAATTCAAAATCGCTTAGAATTCCGACGTCACTTGGAAATTGGGTAGAGTTCCGACGTCACTTGGTCGTCGGGCAGAATTCTAGCGTTACTTTGGCATCAGGCAAAATTTTGGTGTCACTTGGGTAGTTATGGCATCACTCGGGTATCCGGTAGAATTTTGGCGTCACTCGGGCGTCGGGCAGAACTCCGACGTTGGTCGATGAGGAGTTATTCCCTCCTATCATTCTCTTCTCTTCTTATCTTCTTCTTCTCTTCTTCTTGGTTGGGTCCCCTCTCAAAAAAATGAGGGATCTATTTATAGATTTTCTAGAGTGACATGACCCGTAAATAGATAAGAGAGCAGTGGCAAATATTGAGTGGTTCGGATGAATGGCCGATATTGAATCTTTCGATTGTGGACAGTTTATTAGGCATTTGAAAGTCTTAACGATTTTAGAATTTGGCGATCTTGGGATCGTTGGATTTTTCTCGTTGAACCGCTTGATTCGACTATAAAAACGTCATATTTGGAAACTGTTTGGCAACTTAAATTATGGTTTGAACTTTCCAATAACGCTTCGGGTGCTTGATTTGGACTCATTTGAGCTCGGATTGAGTCGAATTTGGTGTCGTTGAGTTCGTATTTCCGAGACGCTCAGTTTGACTATAAGTTTGCTGAAATCAGAGTACAGGTGATCCCGTATTTAATTTTTGAAGTTTCCAGCTTGATTTTGCCTCAAGATTCGTGCCCGATCAAGATAATTTTTTGAGGATATATCATTGACATATTATTGCATTTTGGAGTTAAAATTGAGTTTTTTTCATTGGAGATGCTCTAATCTTATACATATGTTTATCAATCATAAGCTTCATTTGAGAAAATTTTTATATAATTTTTTAAAACAATTTTTAGTATAAATTTTTTGAAAAAGTAGTGAAAAAATAATAGCCTAGAGCTATTTCAAACAAAGTCTTAATAATAAAAAAAGGCAAATAAAAAAGCTCAGTAGCCAACAGAGTAGAATTATATTAACTAATTTATTTAATTATTTTGATTTATTGGTTGAGAACTTTGACTCAACCAGACAATTTTGAATTTGAGTCATTCATGCATAACTTGTATGAATTTGTTTTAATTGAACTAAATATCTCAAAAAAATAAAACATTTATTTAAAATATAATAAGAAAAAAAAAACAAACTTTCAATGCCTTCAAGAATGCCTAATAATTAAAACATTTAATTAAAACTGACAGCTCAGAAAATGGCATGGAAAATACACAACATGTTTAAACTTTAAACCCAAGCCAGCAATGGTATGGTTGACCCATATTACACATAGTATTAATTCCAAAAATACAAAGACATAAAAAAACAAAAAATGACAACCTTGCGCCCCGCATATATTTCCACGTGTCGCGCTTTCCACCCTGTCGGCCCCACAACAGTCTACAATGGACTTTCCAAAAGCTCTTGCCCCACGGCCTACCACACCCACACCTAAATGAAACAAATAAACTGCCACAATATTTCAAAGATCAATAAATTCTGATTTCGAATTAAAATGAAGGGAAGGAAGAGCAGCGCTGTGATAAGTACACTGTGCAATCATCCTTGGGGACGATAGTAGGTACATAAGCAATCTCATCACAGCCGTCCGTTCGGTGTCTCCGAAAATCAAGCAAAGAGACAAAGAGCGCGATGAAGATAACGAGATGATTAACAGCATAGCGCTGGCCAACGCACTGGTGGGGCCCGGCTCCAAAAGCCAAGAAATTACGCTTGTATATTCGATCCTCCTGCCGATCTCCTAAAAATCGGTCCGGGTCGAACCGGTCCGGCTCAGGGAAACCCTGGAACGACGACTCGTATGTCGATGGAAATACGATGGCGCCTTTGGGAACCGTGTACCATTCCGTCAGTGGGAACTCCTCGCCGGCGATGTGGGGCACCAAAGTGGCCGGTGGCCGGATGCGAATTACCTCGCGAGCCACGGCCTCTGTGTACTTCAACTCCTTTACCTGCTCCGCGCTGATGAGTTCGCCGGAGTCCGGCGACCATCTGGAAGTCACTTCCTCGCGCACGCGAGCGAGGATTTCCGGGTGCGATTCAAGCAAAGTGATTGCCCAGAGAAGCGAGGAAGTGGAGGCATCCTGTGCTGCGAATAAAAAGTCGAAGAGATGGCCTCCGATATCATGGTCGTCTTTTTCCGGAGATTCCCGGAGCGTCTCCTGCATCCAGAAATCCACCAAGCAACAGGGCTCCTCGCCGGCGAGCATTCGCTCCTTGCTCATAATCACGCAGCCCGAGAGCGTCTTGACGAGGCGGTCGACGGCGAGCCGAGCTCGCCGAAAAGCGAAGCCAGGTAGATCGAAGGGGAAAGACATGAGGCCGAGATTGAACAGGTTGTAATCAGAATCGAACCTTTTGCGTGCGACGGGGGAGAGATACGGCCCAACGAATACGGTCTGGGAAGTCTCCAGGTTGAGGTCGCGGCAGAGAAGACGAAGAGGAATAGCATTTTGTGTAGAAGCAAGGTCGATCCAGTTCTTTAAATGCCGCAAGATAACTTTTTGTTGTATAAGAAGGTAAGTGGAGAGTGCCCGAGGTGCGAAATTTGGGGTGATTCTACGGCGGAGGTCTTTGTGTTGTTGATCGAAGAGGTAAATCATGTTTTGCTCGCCGAAGAGTTTTTTACCGAATGGGTGACCGATGAGATGGAAAGCGTCGGGGCGAACGTTGGAGAAGACTTTGTGGGAGAGCTCAGTGGAGCTGATGAAGACGATGAAGCGGCCAACGAGGAAATTAGCGGCGAAGCCGAGGCCTGAGGATTTGGCCATGGCGGCTTGTTGCTCCCAGAAACTGGTCGGGTTTGAGATCATGGAGATAGCGCTTCCAAGAAAGGGGACGATGAGAGTGGGGCCGGGGAGAGGGCCTTTCTTCTTGAGGTAGGAGAGCTGCTGCAGGAGTATGAGGAGAGCGATTGCGCAGAAAAGGAAAGGGCTCGCAGTTGATAGAAGCTGCCATAGCGCCATTTCTTCTTTATTTCCTCGCTCTGTCTAAGCTCTTCTTCCAGAGATATATAAGAGTGGAGAACTTCTAGAAATCAAGCTGCGTCTCGGACTAGGCAGTTGAAAAAAGGGTTTAAGAAAACAGGAGGGGAAAGAGGAAGATGGGAAATGCTGAAAGAATTGAAATCTCCTTTTGTTATTTGTTCAAATTGACGCGCGGCATGTTAATTTGAATGGAAATTGGTGGAAGTAAGGGTTGCAAAAATTGAGGAAAGGTAAAACCTTGGTCAAAAAATTGCGAAGGTTGGGTAGAGATGGCCGTTGAAAGCAATGGTCGGCGTAGACATGGCGGCGGGCCGGAAATTGGAATAGACAAAGTTGTTGGCGCTAGGATAGTTGGTACAAGTCTACAGATGGAATTTCGTTATTAAATTAGTTTTAAATTAAATATTAATAAATAAACTTTTTTTTTTTTGGGGAAAATTTAAGGGTTAATCATATCTTTAGGTTTTTTAGATGATTGGCAGCTGGATTGGTCTCACTAATATGAAGTTCTGATCTTTTGATTAATTTTATAGCTTTTAATGTATGGCATTAATTTTTAAAAAAGCTTAATAAAACTAGCTAAAACAGAAAATATCTATGAAGATAATTTGAAGCTGAACAATGATTGGTTTGAACTGTTGATTTATATACAAAATTTTATTTATTTTTTATGGCTGCCAATGAAAAAAATTGATATAGCTGATCATTAAATTTAGTTGTAGCAATAGGTTTTATATGGGCAAAGAAATATATAAGACAAAACGTATTAGACTTGGAAGAATTTCGTATTTCAGTAGTTTAAAAGAATAGATTTAGAAGAAATTATGTTTCAAGAGACCTTTTTTGGCATTAAATTACATAAAAATTTGTAATAAATAAATGCAACACACTACACACAAAAATATATGAGTTTAAATCATTATATCTTTAAACACTTATATCGACAACTCGCACTTATCTGAATGTGCATCTATCCAAGGGGCACGACCCGAGGGAACACTTGTTGAGTCACTCAAAGTAATGCTCGCCTAAAGGAAGCATCTTTACGAGGAGCAATTGTTTGAAACAATTCATGTGCAAGCATGGGCGGATCCACCAAGGACTCAAGGTGGGCCACCCTTAAATTTTTTTTAAAAATATTTAGAGGAAATATTTTGAAATATTTTGGGTTTCTCCCCCCTCCCTAAAAATTTTTTTAAGCATCTTTGTCTATTCCCCACAAAAAAATTATTTTTTTTGCCCACCCTGAAACAAGAAGCTGGATCCGTCCTTGTGTGCAAGTAGGTATTTGTCCTTAGGGAGAACTCATGACATATGCATTTGCCATTGGAGATTCAATTAGAAGGATATAATCATTCTGCATGAGTTTGTCTAGAGAAATTGGCTAGATCGGCATTTTCCTTATAAGTGGAACTCACCCAAGAGTATTCATTGCCCTAAGCAATTGTCCTCATCTAAAGCCGTCCGCCTTTTGTGGATGGCCAAATTAGAGCTGCAGCAAGCACAAATCTTCATAATCTATGATCATGGCAGTCAGTCAAGCTTATTTTTTTAAAAAAATTATTTTATTATTTGTTAAAATAATAATATAATATTGATTTCTTTAGAGTAAGCTTAAATTATCTTTAGCTTATAAATAACCAACATTCTCTTCATGTAAGGATTGTTCCTAATTTGAAAATTACAACACACTTTATTTTCTTCTTTTATTCTTTTTAAGCTAAATTTTAGGAAGAGAAATGTTGATTTCTATTTCAGGTGCTCTCCATTTTTATAAGATATATTTTTGGGTTTAGAAGCTTGAATACACTCAATCAGACAGCTTCTCTTGAAGTTTTTGAGATTGGTTTCTTTTTTTCTATATCATTCTTTACTATTCTTTTCTTTTTCACCTTGTATTTGTTTAAGTTTTTTTTTGTTGGTGAAAGACTATTTAAAGATCATAGATTAAGTTTTCTTTGTTTAGAGTTCTCTTATCCATTAAATTAGTAAGCAAATCTTTTTTATTTTGATAAAGATTTATTTTCTAATTCAATTCATATTTGAAAGTATTAAATGAACAAGTTTTAATTTATTATGCCCATTTTATGATTTAAATAGTATTATTTTTGGTGTAGCACTTAGAATTTATCCAATCACCATCAAGGGAAAAAACACATTAGCTCAAGCCATGAAGGATCTATGAGGATTAACCATGATAATTTACATATTTTTTATATTTTATAAATGTTGTATTATGTGTATATAATTTCATGTAATTTGTGTTGTAAGTGTTATATAAAATTCATATTATTGTACTTTGCTTTGATAGTAATCATTGTATCATGTATAATACTAGCTTAAGTTAGTAAGGTCCAACCATGCTATATTGTCTGTGTGCATGGATATGGTTTAGGCAGTTTCTAGGTGGGGACCAAGCTCGGCCCTCATTTGTACCTATTTTCCCTCTTATTTTATTTGATAGACTTGAAGATTACCTTCCCAAAGTCGATAGTGAACTTCTTTTGGATATAATAATTTAAGATTATTCTAGCCTTAATAACTTCACTAATATCCCTACTGGGCATTAGTTTAACAAAAATAAAATAATGCTAGGCATTAGATTCTTGGTTTATTATAGAGCTAGAGAAATTCACTATCCTATCCTCATTTCTTTTCCAACGAGCATTTGAACCTCTATAGTTTAAGAACCAAAGGATTTCATCATAGTTTATAGGAGAGACGTAAAAGTTTCAGTATTAGCCCCCATTAAATTAGTAGTATAGGGTTTGGAAGGTCTGATTGATATCAATAAGGGTGAATAGTACCCACTTCTACTTAACAAACATAGAGTCCTTCTGAGGCTTCTTTACATTGGTGAAGAATTATTTTATGATTGGGGCAACAGTAGCATGGGATTGAGTTATATGGACATCCTAAGTTTTGTATACTATTAAGGCCTCTACTACTCTCTATGGGTTCTCAAAACCTTGCTCAAGATAATTTTGTAGAAAATATGTTATTATATCTCTCCTCAACTATAGCACTTACGAACCTCTAACAATTATAGGAGATAGATTCTTATCTCCTCCCTCAAGCAATGAGTTTTGGGGCCATTATAATGATTTGAATGGGAGCACTCACTTGAAAGAAAGTACTAAAGAGAAGGATTACTAATAAGTGTAAATGATGTGTTATTTATTATGTTATATTTATTCTGTTTTTTTAGTTATTTTGTGCAGGAAATTTAAAAAAATGGCACAAAATTCTAAGTCTTACTTAGCTCTATGGTGTAGGACAAATCAATGCCATAGTGCCATCAAAGGCACTATCGCAGCGCCACAATATTGACATTGTGATGCCAACATCTCTATTGGATAATTACTCGATGTTAGAATGGTTAGCTTTGCAGCACTATGCTCTATATTTTCCAATGTAACAATGTCATAATCTATCATGCCTCGACGACAAAATTACCATTCCGGCACCACAACATTCAAAAGTCAGAAAGGCAATGGCTTAGTAGTTGTAACTTCAAAATGATATGATCTGTCATTGAAATGATAAGACTATTCACTAAGTAACTGATTCACATTAGAAAATGCTATGGCGGAGCCAAAACAATAATGCAACTGTGTTAGTTCAATTGTTTGCACGGTGTTAGATCATTTGTTTGCGACAGCAGTGCCGACCTTTCAAGCACCGCAGTGCCAGTTGCTTAATTTGTATTTTCTTATAAATAGTCATTATGTTATATTTATTGTAAAGTTCAATCACTTGTTTAATTTTAGTAAATTTTAGAGTGCTCATCTGAATCTCTTTTAGTGTGACAAATAAAGAAATTTATGGAAGTACTTGATACAGTCATTAGAGTGTTTAGATCATATTTTTTTTTATCAACTCCATACATTTAGGAAGGAGTGTAGAGGAGATACATTGATCCTAAAGTTAAAATATATTTTTATAATTATCTCACTCTTTATTTAATGCACATAATAGCCATATGTGTAGTTAAAACCCCATGTGATGTATAGCCTATACAGAGGAATGAAAGAACAATCTGGAATATTAAAAAGTATGTTTACATACCTAGACATAAGATATCAAATATGCTAGGTTCTCAAAAAGATAATAAAATTGTGGGATGTCAGCAGATATCTTTTTCACCCCTACAAGCTAGACAAAGATCTAGGGATATATATTCTCTGAATCACATTGCACATATGAATTTCATTAGGAAATATATAAAATTTTCATTCATTAATCCAAAATACTTAATTATTTATATATTGTATCAATTATTTAAATATTTTTATTTAGTGATTGAATCTTAGTAATAAATAATTTTTTGTTAGATAATTTTGTAATTAGATTAAATAGTAATAATTGATTATTGATAGACATACTTCCTCATGGGTTAGATATTTTATTCTATCACTTTATTACTTGATCCAGCACATATATTTACATATATTAAGTGAAGTTTATTATTTTATATCAAAGAAAATCTAAGCATTATTTAAGGAGATAGAGTCTTAAACATTTTCTATATTCAATGTTACACTCTACCATATCACCAACCATCAAGTTTTTGGCACCATTTGCCAGGAAATTAATTCACCTTTTATAAAAGTTCATCTATATTGTTGAATTTATTGCATAATTAGACTTATTTATATTGTTTATTTTATATGTTTTTTATGATTGCATATTTATTATTGCATTATTTGCTGCCTAAAATTATTTTGCATTATATTTTATGATAATTATTAAAGTTATAATCTAAATATTAATGAATTTAATTATTTATATAAAATATTCAGCACCGCAGTGCTTATTTTTTAAGCGCTACAGTGTTCAATCACTTAAGTTAAAAGTGTGCACATGCCAAAAGTTGGAAGTACATTGTACAGTTATAACTTTAAGTAATAAAGTTAGGTGAGTGTCACAACATAATTATCATGTGCCACTACGTTATTAAGTACCATAATTGTTTCACTTATAGCACCACAACGATTCACAGACTTAAGTGTCACGACATTAACACGTGTCATACCATTGCAATGGCCTGTCCCAAAATGACTCCCTAATTTCTAAAAACTAGCACCGATGAACTATGTGGCCTAAATCGCTGCAGCACTTGTCAGGTGACCATTTTGTCATTTTGTTTCTACATGCAATGCCACAACATTGTATTTTGTAGCATCGCAACACTTCATCGTGTTATAAGTAAGGGAATAGTTTTTCATTTCATTCAACACCTTCCAGTTCCTTCAAACTCTTCTCTTTTCTTTGAAAACTTCTCAAGATGAATGGATTCTATGATGTTTGGTAAAAAGATATATTCTTCCTCTATTAATAAGATATGATTTATTTCTACAGATGCTGAATCTAAATATGTTATCTCAGTTATAAATAAATAATTGATTATAGAATAAGGTTTTCAGATTCCAA